CACTCGCAGGCCGCGTACAGATAGTTGTGCGTGCGCAGCAGCTTGCACTGCCCGTAGGGCCCGCAGTCGTCCACGCACGGGGACAGGAAGGTGCGCAGCCGCACCTCGGCAGTGGCGTTCCGGCACCGCACAAACCTGCGCACACACGCGGTCACCCGGGGCTCCCCGCTCCCTCCCGCCCAGTCCGGCACCAGCGGCTCACCGAGGCCCCGCCCCGCACAGGGAGCGGAGGGTCAGGAACCAGGTCCCGGTCTGCGGGAACGGGATTCGCAGCCTGGCCACTCTGGAGGTGGCGCTGACCGAGAGGAGGAAGCCAGCCAGGGACTCTGAGGGGAGAGGGAGAGGTCAGTGAGAGAGAGGAGGGGTCAGTGTGGGGTCAGGGCCTGAAGAATCCTCACCCGCCTGTCCCCGCTTCCCAGTGGCCCTAGCCCCTCCTTCCACCAAACCAATACCCACCTCAGCCGCGCCCCCTGCCCGTCCTACCAGCCTTCTCTCCTTTCCCCATTCCTCATCCTCACCTTTGGAACAGGTCACTGCTGCATCCCCCAGACTCAAGGGCACCTCGTGAGTCAGGCATCCAAACACCGTCACATTTTCCTGGCGCAGGGAGCTCTGGAGAGGGCAGGTTTGAAGATGAAGCTGCCCCACCCTCCAGGTCCTATCACCACCACCACCCCAGACTCCTACACCGGTTAGTCCTTCCCCATAAACTCCTCCAGGCTCTCACCAGACATCACATTCCTGCAGGTGCTCTCAACACCAAAGCCAATCTCTCTTCCATCTCTCTTCCCTTTTTAGGACAGAAAAACTTGGGAAACACCAAATCTCTCACATCAGAGATCTTTCAAAGACTGATGAAAAGGCAAGGCCCAAATCCAAATCCTTTCTTTGGGCAGAATTTTGAAGCTGCTTAGGCTAAAGAGAATACCCTCTTCTTCAATCTTATCTAGCTTGTTACTGGGGGGAGGGAGAGTGCTGTTGCTGGATGTAAAAATTAGTTGTGCACAAAGGTAACTATAAGGTTTTCAATCATCTTCACCTCTTCATCTGAGTCCAAAGGCAGAAGGCATGTAAAGAAATGTACTCTCCCTCAGGTGAAATGCTCAGGTACTCAAGAGTGGTAGTAGAATGCCTGAGGGATTAAATGTAGCAACCTTGCTGGGATTAAAAGAAACCGTATATCCACAGGAGTAAATGTAAAGAGCTGTTTACAGGAAGCAGGTTGTCATAAACTCACCTCATTCAAGAAGGATTTGAGGCAGCTTATTAAATACATATAACAGGATAAAATAAATGCATGAGGGAAATTGAAAACTCAGGATAGGAAAATAAATGTGGGCCATATATTTGATGCTGACTTCCAAGCAACCAAAGCAAAGAAGGAAACATGATGAGTGACCAGATTTGTGAGTCCATCAGATAAAGGTGAATCAGAGTCACAGAAGTATAGCATCCAAAGGTGTGGTTCTCGGGTAAGTTTCATTGAAGCAGCGCTGTGTGCTGGTGTGCATCCTATCCTCATTCCTGTCCATTTACTCTAAAGGGCATCTGCTTACATTCCATTTATCTGCGTGCTATGACCCTTGTTATACACCTCAGACAGCTGAAATTCACTCTTGTGAGAACACAAGAGTGAATTTCATACAACTTGCTCATAACTTTCCTCAATGCAAGCCCAGGGCAATATGCCAAAGTATTATTCAGTAAAAATCATTCTGGAAGAGGGGGAGCAAAGATTTAAAAATGTTCTCTAGGTATGCATTCTCTGACCCAAATGACCAGTTCTTAATCCGGGGGGGGGGGGG